GATTCGGCCCAAGCCATCGCTGGGTGCGCAATGTCGTCCTCAGAAAAGAAGCCGCCGGCACCCGCAGACGCCAGCAAGACCGTCGTCCGCGGCGCCTCCCTCCTCATCATCCTCCAGATCGGCTCCCGCGCAAGCACCTTCATCGCCAACCAGCTGCTCCTGCGCTTCCTGACCGCCCAGCTCCTTGGCGTCTCGACACAACTGGAGGTCTACTATCTCTCCGTCCTCTTCTTCGCCCGCGAGAGTCTGCGTGTCGCCGTCCAACGCCAGGAAACCCGCCCCGGTTCCAGCAAGCGCGATGACGACCCGAAAGCCCGCGTCGGCCGTGAGAGCCAGGCCGTCGTCAATCTCGGCTACCTCGCCGTCCTGCTGGGCTGTCTCGTCACCGTCGGCCTTGGATGGCTCTACCTCTCGTCCGCTGATGAGCTGACCCGCAACACCCCCAACTTCCTGCTCGCCCTCCGCCTCTACGCCGTCGCCGCCGTGCTCGAGCTCCTTTCCGAGCCCTGCTTCGTTCTCATGCAGACAAGACTGCAGTTCGGCACTCGCGCCACCGCAGAGTCCATCGCAACCTTCCTGCGGTGCATCGTCACCTTTGGCACCGCCGCGTGGGCGTCGCGAGCCGGCATCGAGTTTGGCGTTCTCCCCTTCGCCGCCGGACAGCTGTCCTACGGCGCCAGTCTCCTGCTCGTCTACCTCTGGTCCGGCGCTCGTCTATCAAGCACAGACGGCTTCTCACTTCTCCCAAAGAGCCTGGGCCCCAGTCAAGAATACGTCGCCTCGTACTTCTACCGGCCAACCGTCAGCCTGGCGTCCAGCATGATGGCCCAGAGCATCGTCAAGCACGTCCTCACCCAGGGCGACACTTTCCTGGTTTCCATCCTCTCCTCTCCCAAGTCACAAGGCGTGTATGCCCTGGCCAACAATTACGGAGGCCTGCTCGCCCGCCTGGTCTTTCAGCCAATCGAAGAGAGCAGCCGCAGCTACTTTAGCCGCCTCCTGTTGTCGCAAGACACAAAGACCAGCAAGCCCTCCAGGGAGACCGCAAACACGGCCAGCCAACATCTGCACACCCTGCTCAGATTCTACGTCCTCCTCTCTGCTGTCATTGTGAGCATTGGCCCCGTAGCTGCCCCGCCACTGCTGTCCCTCGTAGCTGGCAAGCGCTGGGCCAGCGAGGGCGCTGGAGACGTGCTGGCAGTATACTGCTACTACATCCCTCTGCTTGCCATCAACGGCGTGGCCGAAGCATTCGTGGCATCGGTGGCGACTGAAGCACAGGTGCACAGGCAGTCAGTCTGGATGGGCGCCTTTTCTGTAGCCTTTGGCTCCGCGGCCTTCATCTTCATGCGCGTCATGGACCTCGGTGCTTCAGGTCTCGTCTTTGCCAACTGCATCAACATGCTTTGTCGCATCGTTTGGAGCATCGCATTCATCAAATCGTACTTTAAAGGTCTTGAAACACCATTCGAACTTTTTACATTGCAGCCAAACGCCGTCACCTCTATCGTCTGTCTATCTGCGCCGCACCTCATCCGAAAGGTGGCCGGCGTCGTTTCCTCGGGGGCCTCCACGTCGTTCAAGCACCTGGTCGCCATCGGCGTGGCCTCTGTCCCCGTCGCCCTTTTGATGTAAGTTGCCATCATCTGCCCTGGCTCTTTGACCCTGGTATTCTAACACCCATCTAGCCTCTTTGCGGAACGGCGGTTTCTCATGCAATGCTACAACTCGGCCCGCAGACCAAAGGTTGCTGCTTAGCTTAGACACCCATTAGATATAGAAAACAAAATAAAATCAGACGGTTCCCTGAACAGGCTGGTAATTTAATCGTCAAACACAATCTTGGTGGCCTTCTTCGTCATGTCAACGTCCTTGAAGAAGGCGCCGTAGGTGTCGTGGGCCTTCTTCTTAACCGTCGTGCCGAACTTGAACAGTTCTTCGGGCACGGGCTGGTTGGCGCCCTTGAGAATGTTGATCAAACTGGGTCATGTGTAAGCAATTGTCTTGAGTCTCGTTAAATCTTCCGGCAACTTACGATCCAGAGTGCGCCTTGTCCTGCTGCGTGAAGAGGGTGATGGCCTCGCCAGTCTTGCCGGCACGACCGGTACGTCCGATTCTGTGGACGTAGTCCTCGATAGTCAGAGGGAACTAGAAATGATCAGTCAACTGTTGCGCATCGGAGGCACGAATCGAGACTTACGGTAACGTTGATGACCAGCTTCACCTCGGGAATATCCAGACCACGGGCGGCAACGTCAGTGGCAACCAAGACGGGCGTCGTGCCCGCCTTGAAAGCCTCCAGACTGCGGGTGCGCTGCTCCTGGCGCAGATCTCCGTGGATGCCGCCGACGCGGATGCCACGCTGCTGCAGGAAAGTCTCCACGCGCGTCGCCTCCTTCTTGTACAGGCAGAAGACGAGAATGCGGTCGTTCTTCTTGTTGCCCTGCTGGTGCTGCTTGAGCAGCTGAAGCAGCCTCTGCTCCTTGGCCCTGGGGTCGACGACCTCGACGCGCTGGGTGATGCGCGTGTTGGCCTGCAGCTCGACGGCACCGCTGGCGGTCTCCTTGCCGCTGGAGCCGATGGTAATCTTGATGGGGTCAACCATGAAGGACTCGGCGAGCTTGCGGACGGACGCGGGCCACGTCGCCGTGAACATGACGGTCTGGCGCTCCTCCCGGGGGGGCATGGCACCGAGGATGCCCTTGATGTCCTCCTCGAAACCCTTGTCGAGCATGCGGTCGGCCTCGTCGAGGACTGCGAAGCGCGTGTCCTTGAGCTCGATGGTGCCGTCGGCCATGAAGTCCTTGAGACGACCCGGGGTCGCCACGATGACGTCGGCGCCACGGTTCAGGAGAGCGCGCTGGTCATCCTTGGAAGCACCGCCGTAGATGCACACGCACTTGAGGCCAAGGAGAGACGAAACGTGCTCGAGCTGTTCCTGGGTCTGCATGGCCAGCTCACGTGTCGGGGACACGACGACGGCCTTGATGCCGCGCTTCTTGATCTTAGAGATAGCCTCGACAAGGGGCAGGGCGAAGGCCATGGTCTTTCCGGAGCCAGTCTCTGCGACACCGATGACGTCGCGGCGGGAGAGGGTGAAGGGCCAGGAAGCGGCCTGGATGGGGGTAGGCGTCTTGTACGAGGAGAAGGGGTTCTTCTGGATGAGCGGAGTTTGCGGGAGGTAAGAGAACTGGAGGATGGGGCGCAGGTGGCTGGTCTTGTCTGTCGGGTCCGTGACGGTGATGGTCTCGGCGGTCATGAAGGCGTCAATGTCGGACTGGGGGAGAGCAGACAGGGCAGCGGCCTGCGCGTACTCTGCTCCAGCAGCAACAGGCTCGGCAGCCTTTGCGCTGGTAGCACCGCTCTCAGCCTCCTTGTCCTTCTTCTCCTTCTTCTTCTTTTCCTTCTTCTCCTTCTTTTGCCTCTTCTTCTCGGCCTTGTCGTCCTCATCGACGTCCATCTTGTCCTCAACGGCAGCGGGGGCTTCCTCGGAAGCTTCCTCAGCCTCGTCCTTGCTGCGCTTCTCCTTCTTCTCCTTGTTCTTCTTCTTCTCCTCCTTCTCCTTCTTGCGCTCCTTCTTCTCCTTCTTTTCCTTCTTCTTCTGCTTCTTCAACTCGGCGGCCTCGTCGCTGTCAACATCGCCAGCGGCAGGGAGGTCCTTGACCTTCTGCTTCTTGCTGGGGATCTGCTCGACCTCGCTGTCGGCGAGAGAGTGCTTTGTGGCAGCCATTGTCGCGATCGATTCTGGGCTCGGTCGCTGTGGGAATTGACTTGCGACGCTGAAAATATCCCCGAAGACGGTGAGCTCGAGTCGAAAGGGCGGGTGGCTGAGGGGCGAGTGCGAGTGCGACCGGATGGTCGCAGAGACAGACGAAGGGGGAAAAAAAATTGCTTATCGATAGGACGATAAGATTGGTAGCCGATAAGCAGCGGCCAAGGGTCCAGGCCCGCTCGTCACGCTAATCCCGTTGTGGCCCATGCTTCCCCGCTCACCGAGCCCCGGCCAGAATCGGAGCTGAAGACCCACTCGGTGTTTTCCACCTTCCTCGATCGGCCCCGGACTTCAGTGTTCTTCATTCACCCTCCCCACCTCTCCCACTTCCGCGCGGATTCCACTTCATGTGCCCTTCCCCTCACTGCCAGCTGTCACTCGCTTGTTACGATACTCCCTGTTGGGCCTTGCTGCCCGTCTTTCTGCCTCTGAGGCCGCATGCCGCCCCCTCCCAAGTCGGACGGGTGCGTGCGAATCCCAGCCGAGACTTGGTTTGGAGCACTGAGGGAGGCCGTCGTTGGCGCAAACCACCGGCGCCGTCGAATGGGATATCTTCCGTCGTGCCTCTGGAGCTGCGCTCGGGTAACTTGAGTGAAACCTGCCCAACAGGAGCGGGCCGTCAACTGTCCATTTCCGTTACCACGAAACTGGGACTATCAACGTCTAGGAAAAAGGAACCAACAGAGACACTGACGTTGTGAAATATGCAGGCGAACTTCTTGTGCGTATCTGCGAACTGCACAAGATTCGGCACACCACAGCGTTCGCGTACAGGTATCAGGTAGGCGGCCGCGGGCATCGAGGCCGCCATGTCAGCCAATAGTCCCCTGGGCGTCAGCAAGGCGGCCCAACCCTGCAACGGGAGCTAACCACCGTCTGCAGTTCTTCGAGGGATTTCCATACCCAGCCTATAAGTATGTTCGTACTTCAACCCTGTCCCGTCCTGCCAATGGGTCTGGTTCTCGTGCTGCATGGGGAGATGATCGCGGCAGCGCATCACCCTGCGATGCCCATGTCACACGGCTGACGGTGCGGCGTTCACCCTTGCTGTGTCCTCTTCTGATAGCGTCCCACGTTGCACCTCGATGGCGACAACTCGGCGCCCCACGGGGGTGGGGGAATAGAACAGCTTCGAGATGAGGTAGAAATAGTAGCCTTCCCCCGAAATGGGCGTCAGTAGCCGTTGCAGCCGTCATCTCTTCAAAACGAAACCACACCCCGCGGCTCTATGGATAGCTGTCAGGTACAGGGGAGGCCTGACCTGTACGGGCTCGGCCTTCGAGTCGCATTCTATATCCAATGGTTCGGCGCAATCATTGTAGAATACCTCGAGGTCGCCGACCTGCCCGACATCAGGCTCATTGGCCTCCTGTTTTCCGCGGCCGCCTTCTTCGGGCTGATTGTCAAAGTCACCGTGACCACCCTACAGCCAGCTGATGTCTATATCGTCTTCCTCCTAGCGATGGGCATCTACTTCTTCCTGGTTCCATTGTATATATGGAAAGCGTTGACGTGCTTCAACCCATACTGGAACCCCTTCCGATGGGCCAAGGAGGATCCAAGCCCGGCCTTCAAGGGTCTCAGCTTCACGTTGCTCCTGGCGTTGACAGCGCTGGGCATCTGGTTCTGGTGCTCGTTCGTTCCGGAGAATCCATGCTCCTCGTCTCAGTGCGGCTTCTTCTTCAGTTGCGTCAAGCTTGGTAACAAGGCATTCGTCGCCTTCAACGCGATTCTCTGCTTTGCCATCCTGTTGGTTTGTGTCGTCGTCTTGCTGCTCAAGATGGGTTGGAAGATACCGTTCTGGCGGCAGAGGCGCAAGAAGCGTAGGATCAGGTGAGTCAACTCCCAGCCACATTATGATAATGTCAGTCAATCCTAATGCCGATTCTGCAGAGCGGTGCACGTCATGTTAGTCAAGGAGATCAAGACTTTGAGCAATATTGCCGTTGCGGCCACTCTCACCGCTGCCGTTGAGCTGACCATCTCGTGGAATCACATCCAAGATGTAAACAACATTTCCGACGTCGTTCAAATGCTTCCTCTCTTCATCAGCGCTGGATTTCTGGTGCGCATACTGTTCCTGCACTTTGCGGGGGCGAACGAAAGCTCGGATTCCTCCGAAGAAGACAGTGATGGCGAGTCGAGTAGTGACATGACGGAGTCACAGGGTGGGTTGCCGCCGCCACCTCCTGTTCATCCACGTTAGGAGTGGCATGTGTTGTACCTGAGCTTTTACAATATGAGTATTTGATATTGCGGCGACCAATGAACTTGTGAACTCTCCTCATTCCCATGCATTAGAGAGCCAGATACATGCAGGAGAAATGGCCGTACCAGCATGAAAGTAGCCGGCGAGGATGAGGCAAAAAAGACCATCTGTGCGCATTGCAATTGCTACCAGACCCACGAGACGTCAATGTCTGCGGAAGTTCGATGTTGAGTTTTGATTATATATGACTAGACTATTCAGGCCTTCAAGCTGAGCGTTGTTCCAACCAAGAAGACATCCACGGATAATACCAATGGAAAGTCCTGGCTCTCATAACGGTGCCTTCAACATTACATTGCATCCTCAACGTTACATGAGATTTTCCCCTCAGCTTGACATCCATTTTGGTATTTGAGTGAATTTTGACATTTCATCCGCGGTCTCCTTCCACAATAGCTTCTGTAGCCGCATGCCATCATCAGAATTGGCGTAGCCTTCTGGCCTGAGAAACGACGTCAGTATCATTGCCTCCATAACCAAGATCCAGTACTTACTCCCAGATGTCTTTATCACCCAGCTGTTTCCCGTGCGTCTCAGCACCCACCACCACGGCAGCATGAAGCCCGATCCAGCCAGACTGCTCCGGAGACCTGGCCCGTACGGCCTTCACCGCATTCATTGCCAACCTAAAAGGCAGTGGCAGCACGTCGCTCATTGCCGTCTTCACCATCCCGGGGCAAAACGCATTGACGATGACCTTCTCAGGCCCCAAATGTTGCCGCAGCTCTCGGAGGAACAGAACCACCAGGAGCTTGCTGTCCGCGTACCGAGACAGACCGTAAAAGTTCGCCTCAGCGTCCAAGTGCTCCAACACTGACTTTTCGGGGGCGAGAGGCGCCTTTGTCGCCAAGCTGGTGTTTCCTATGGCTCGGCTTCCGGTCCAAGTGACTCTCCCGGGAGACCTCGTCCTCTCAGCCGTGGATTCTAACAAAGGGAGAAGCTCGAGCATCAGGAGCACGTTGGAGAGGTAGTTCACCTGGACCGTCGCCTCGTGATTCGTCGCAGCAACATGACGCTTGAGTCCCGGAACTCCAGCGTTCAGCATCAGAATATGGAGGTCTTTGTGCTCACTGCAGAATGCTTTTGCAAAAGACTGGACGCTGCTGTAATCTTCGGCATCCATCTTCATGACCTTGACGATGGCGTCTGGGTTGGCCGACTTGATAGCTGCATCGTCCAGAAGTTCTCGTTTTACCAACTCGCCTTTCGAGGTGTTGCGGACCGCAAGTACAACCATCGAGGCTCTCAGGAGAACGAGCTGCTTTGCCAGGGCAAGGCCGATTCCAGACGTTGCGCCTGTGACGATGGCGGTTTGGCCGTCAAGATACAAGTCATTCGGCAACGGCGTCACTGGAGGCTGAAAGAGTCGCATGATGGCTATGTCGAAACGAGGCTCAAAGAACTGACCTTAGTATTCTTGCTTTCCATCGTAACAGCCGCAAGCATTGCGTCTTTTATTTATAAAGCCATGAGGACCGTAGATTATCTTCTTTCTGGAAAGGACACTTCAAATCCGACGGCTTTCATGTCCGCCTGTTGCGATGCCATCGTCAAAGTCCGCTGAGTTCTTGTCGTCTTTCCCAAGACGGCGAGGCAGAGGCGTCTTTGACAATGTGGTGTTGGCGGAGTTATCCATGGCCTCGCCCCGACACGGTTAACCATTTGAAGGATCGGGAGCTGCTCCGACGCTGCTTACAGAGCAGGCAGATAAGATCGGGGCGTTGTACCGCGGCCGTGGTCGGTCCTGCGCAGGCTGGCGGAGACGGTGGCAGGGGATCCGACCAGAAGTCTCCGAGGACCATCCGAAGCCCGCCGGGTCGGCATTTGGGCCGGCTCACTCGCACACATTTCCAGTGATCAAAGAATGTGATTGGAATAAGTGACTCACGAGTCCCAAATCGACGTTCGCATTTCCATGCCTGTTCTTGTCCTCGTGGTGTTCAACTGACCAAGAAATTGCGATACGGAGTCAAAGCATGAACGTGGTCAGGCTATACCCTTGGAGAGGGAGTGCTCCCAGCATCAATCGCACTCGCCCCGCATCATCAGTCTCACGATGCATTAGGCCTAGCCAGCGAACGCGCCGCTATCGGTGCACTCTGTTGGTCGGGCATCGCCGAGTCTCAGGCTCAGTTCCCCATGCAATGTCAAGTTTTTGGAAATTCTCATGTTCCTTTCTTCGGATTTTCATCTGTCTTGTCGGTCGCTGATAAGCTGGCCACTAACTAAAATGGTATTTCAACACTGACGTACAACCCTGCCCCTTGGAAGCCTCTGAGATGAGATTTTGTAAAGAGTAGCTTCGTGGCAGCGTGGGCTTGAATATCGTGATGGCCGTAGCGGCCGCGATGAAGGAGCCTTCGTCCATCCAAGCCGTGTGAATCCGTATTTCCCTCCCAAACTCCAGTAATTTTGTTGAAAAAATGTTTTGAAACGACGAAATCTTGTTTAGGCGAGAATCGCCCAATCACCAGGCCTCACCACACCCACTGCACCACCTGGCATCATTCTCCGTGTCCGAACTCCATGAAACGTGTAACGGGTTAAGAAAAGAGAAAAATTATTCATGCGGATGCGGAAGCGGAAGCGGCGGCGGGGGCCTCGGTCTTGGCCTCGGTGCCTGCGAGGTTGGTGGGCTTCGCGTTGGGGTTCTTGGTGTAGTAGTCAGAAATGGCGGCCTTGATGGCGTCCTCGGCAAGCATGCTGCAGTGAAGCTATTATTTTGTTAGCACTGGACAATGCGACAGCTTTGCGTCGTCTGGGCAGCCATACCTTGACGGGGGGGAGCTTGAGCTCCTGGGCGATCTCAGTGTTCTTCACTCGGCCGGCCTGCTCCAAACTACATTGATGGTTAGCAAGGAGATGAGTAATGTAAAGAAATGTGTCGACTCACGTCATGCCACGGACGAGCTCGGTCAGGTAGCTGGAGGATGCGATAGCGGAACCGCAGCCGAAGGTCTTGAACTTGACATCGGAGATGGTGTTGGTCTTGGGGTCGACGCGGATGTTGAGCCTGCGACAAACTTGTTAGCATGTAGGCCTGACAGAGATGAAGGATATATATCGCATGGCGGTCGGTCGATGTGCGCGTGCATTCGGGAGGAAGCCGAAGCAAAATGAAGCAGCTTGCGACCGGAGGGCATGCCGAGCCCCGCAGTGCGTGCCGACAGCGACTTGATGATATTGGGGATGTTCTTCGCGGGAGGCGTCTTACTTCATAACGTCACCGCAGGCGGGAGCGCCGACGAGGCCCTGGCCGACGTCCTTGTCGCCCTTGGGCATGGAACCGACATTGCGGGGGCGGGAGTAGCTGTTTCGCAGACATCAGTACTCTTCGTCTTCCAAACGTGATATCCGGGGTCACATACTGGTCCAACACCTTCTCGTGGTATGCCCTCGTCGCGCCGACGGCAACAGCAGGTGCAAGCTGGCGGGCGGGAGCGGCGGAGGGGCGGACAGAGGTGGTGAGGATCGCGCGGGAGGCGACACGGAGGGACCTGGAGAACATCGTGAAGGGTATTTTCGTCGTCGGGGTCTTTTTCGGTTGGCTGTGTGTGGATAGGTATCGAGCTTAGGAAATCGTCGCAGGTTCGTTTGAAGTCGCAAGAATCGATTGAGGGTATCAAATGTGATTGTCGATGGTGTTGGCGACAAGAGGAGGGCGAAATAAGAAATTTGTTGAGGCAGATGGGCACTCGGCAGCTGAGGGTTTAGCGGAGGGCAGAAAGAGGAGGCGAAGATTCGGGTCAAAAGAATAAAATGGAGAGAGCTGGCGCTGGCGCTGGCACTGGCAGTGGGAGTGGCACCGTTGCAGTTCACTTCACTGGAGCGGGCGCTGGGACGGGCTCCAGAATCTGGCACTCACACACTGCGGATGCGGGGCTTGTGACGGAGAACGATGGCGATCTCGGTGGTAGCAGGTGCCAGCCGCCAATCAGAGCTTTCAATGACCATGCATTAAGTCATGGAGAGCTCACTAGGCTCGGCGCCTCGGAGAAGACAAAAACTCGACCGCCTCCACTTGATTCGTCAGACGTCGTCTCATTGGCTGTGATAAGGCACGTTTCCTCGGCTCAGCGACGGGGAGAGTACGTACCGCACGGCACCGGAGCGTATCCCCGTCCTCTGACAGCCCGTGCCAGGCCTCCCCTCTGTCTCTACCAGCTGGCTGGGCGGGATTCGCAGCTGCGGTGGAGCATCCGACGGGGCGGCAACAATTTGTCATTGTCCTCGTCAACGAAAGAGATTGGATCTGATTAGATACGTCCTGCACCTCCGTCGTCGCTGGTCTTACGTACTCCAGATTCAATCACCGGCCGGTCGGCGGTAGGCAGGGTCCCGTGTCCGCTTTTTTGTTCTTCTTTTTTTCTGTCCTCTGTTCTTAAGTCCGGGGAAAGTCGTTTCGATGCATAATCTCCACTAAAAAGTCGGTGTTGCATCAAAGACAGCATCTTGACTCATCTACGCGCAATTAAGCAGCTCTCATGCAAGTAGACAACTCAATGCGATTAAGCACTGCAAAGGCCCCACTTCACTACGTAATCGTTCAGCTCCAGGCAGCCTGTCCTTACCTAAGCTCGAGCTCTCCCGCAGCAGCAGTCCAGTGCTGCCTTGTGGTGCCGTAACCGGGTCCCCGCCGCGGGGCAGCACCAGCACCAGCACCAGCACCAACCAATACAGCCCACCAAGACTGAGCTGGGTGCACCACCACAACGGCCACTACCTTACCTTGCCACTATTTTCCTGCAAGAGCTTGAGCTTATCGGTTGTTTGCTCTGACTTGCTTTGCTCAGGAACCTGCCTTGCGCCTTCTCAACTCAGCTTCCTTCCTTTCAAGGTTGCGCTTTGACGCCTCTGCTGCACCTGCCTGTTTGCCTTTTCTACAAGACAGCCAGGGCGCATTCAAAAGTCAACACAACTCCAACCCTCACCCTCCA